TATATATATATATATATATATATATATATATATATATATATACACACATATATATATATATATATCCTACTGAATATCTGTGTTTTATAGATATAGAGAGATTTATTGCAAGGAATTGACTTGCGTGGTTGTGGGAACGCCTCCAAAATTCATAGGGCAGGCTGTGAGGAAGAGCAGGTTAGAACTTTCAGGCGTAAAATGAAATGTCCAAGGCAGAATTTCTTCTTCATCAGAAGAAGAAATTTTTTAACTAGCAATAATTTTTTTTTTTGAGACAGAGTTTCATTCTTGTTACCCAGGCTGGAATGCAATGGCGTGATCTCGGCTCACCGCTACCTCCACCTCCTGGTTTCAGGCAATTCTCCTGCCTCAGCCTCCTCAGTAGCTGGGATTACAGGCACGTGCCACCATGCCCAGCAAATGTTTTGTATTTTTAATAGAGTTGGGGTTTCACCATGTTGACCAGGATGGTTTCGATCTCTTGACCTCGTGATCCACCCGCCTCGGCCTCCCAAAGTGCTAGGATTACAGGCTTGAGCCACCGCGCCCGGCCAACTAGCAATAATTTTTAAACTAGCAACTGTAGGTGTGTATTCCAGCACGGAGCAAGCAAGGGTCTGTTTCCCAGACGCACTAGCCTTCTTCCACATTCCAACCCATTCATTATAAACAACAGCAGCCCGTGAACTGCATCACATTTTCCAATGAATGGCCTGCCTTACATCTCATCAGCACTATGAAAACACATGTGATAGAAAATTTGTCCTTTCTATGACAAAGAAAAACTCAGTGATTTCTTAAAAATAGAAAACATATGAGCCATGTTCCCTCAACACACTGCAGTGAGACTCAAATTAGCAATGACAATAAAACTACTCATAACACTTGGAAATGTTAAAACATTATTCTAAATAATTTTTGGGTCAATAGGAACTCAGAACTGAAACTGATATTTATTTAGGTAAATTGATGGTAAGACTACTATATATTAAAAAGGGGGTACAGACAAAGGCATGTTAAAATACTCCCCTCAGATGACTAAAATACCTTTTTAGAAAACAGAATAAAATAAACATAATTAAGTATTGAACTCTAGAAGCTAGAAGAAGAGGATCAAAATTAGGCCAGGTGTGGCTGCTCACACCTATATAATTCCAGCAGTTTGGGAGGCTGAGGCAGGCAGATCACTTGAAGTCAGGAGTTTAAGACCAGCCTGGCCAATGTGGTGAAACCCCGTCTTAACTAAAAATTCAAAAATTAGTCGGACATGGTGGCACATGCCTATAATCCTAGCTACTTGGGAGGCTGAGGCAGGAGAATCACTTGAACCTAGAGGCAGAGGTTGCAGTGAGCTGAGATTGCACCTCTACACTCCAGCCTGGGCAACAGAGTAAGATTCTCTCTCCAAAAACAAAAAACAAAAAACAAAAAAATAAAATTAACTCAAAGAAATAGAACGTGGTGCAGAACTAAAGTGTAGAATTGATAAATAAAAGCTAGAGTTTATCCTTTACAAAATATACATGTCTGGGAATTTGTACATTTTAAAAAGTACAATAGAGTTTTAGGAGTGAGGAAGTATGAATAAGGAGATAATGGAAATATTTCTCTGATTATGAATAAGAGCCAACATTTATTGAGAGCTTTCTATGTTTCAGGTACTATTGGTAATGTGTGGTTAAATAAACTATCCGTGCAACGGAATACTGTGCAAACATCAGATGGAAAGAGGTAAATCTACACATATGACATTGAAAGTTGACCACAATATACGAGCAAGCGAGAAAGACAAGTTACAAAATTGAATACACATATGATCTCATTTTAAAAATATATATCTACTTGTCTGTATTTCTATTAACATCTATATTTTAAAAATCCAGAATAGTCTAGGGATTGGGACTGAGTCAGAGAAGAGAACTTCTTTACTTTATTCACTTCTACATTGTTTAATCTTTTTTACGATATGCATGAATTACTTTTAATAAGTGCATGATATTTCTAAACAGCTAGGACTTGAAATGTTCCCAACACAGAGATAATAAATACTGAAGGTGATGGACACCCCCAAAACTCTGATTTGATCATTACATGCTCTGTGCATGTACCAAATATCATAGGTACCCCATAAATCTGTAAAATATTATATGTCAGTTTTTTAAACAGCAAAAAAATAAGTACATGATGATAGTTTTAATACCACTAAGTATATTAAACATGGTTATCAGTTTCTGGGAGACTGCTGTTTGGAGAACGTTGTTTCACTTAGTGAGTGCTCAAAGCAGGGCCACTCTGACGGTTTTGCTTCTGCTCCATACTACTCTCAGTCTTAAAGAGGACATGCTTTGTTGTGTGCGTGGCATATTTTGTGGTGTGCTCCTAAAGCATGATCACAAACTAATGAAACTTGATAATGGCAGATATTGTCGCAAGGAATTGAAACTTGAGGTGAATTTCAGGATGTTTGAAAGGGTAGAGTTGAGATATGCAAGAACTGCAGGCTCTTGAGGACTATATTAGTAAAGTCCCATTTGATCAAGACCTTTTGGTATCTGTACCAACAGAGGGACTGAGGCTGTGGCTATCTTTGTCCAGTAGGGCACAGGCACTGGATGCTACTCCGTTGCAAAGCATCAGCCAGCCTGACTTGGCACCCACACCAGTTTTATATTATAACTTAGCATGGTTTTATTTTTATTTATGCTTTCTTCATGTCTCTCTCTTGCTTCTGGCACAGCCATTGTTTCAATACATTTCTATTGAGAAGTTTTAAGGGTGTTCTGATAATGATTTGCAATTCTTCCTGGCTGGTAGTGGCAACTTTTGAAGTTACCAGCAAGCTGTTCTTCCAAGATTGAGAATAAAGGTTGTTGTTTACTTTCTCTTTCACTGACTGACTGATGAACAGAATAATTTAGAGCTTAAGAGGAACCGTCAAGATTAAATCATTAAACAAAACTTATTGAGATCCTGTTATATGCTGGATCTTATTTTCAGTGCTTTGGAATTTTACCTTCTTCGTGGAGAGCTTAATGTCAGTGTGAACCAGGACTAGCTGGAGAACTTGTTAGCTGGGCCTTACTGGAGTTTCTGACTCAGTAAGTCAGAAACCTCGGGCTGGGGCCCGAGGGTTTGGATTTCTAGCAAATGCTCTGGAGAGTTTCTCTAGGGTAGCACTGTGCAAAAAAAATATAAGGTGTGTCACAAATGCAAACCGTGTATGTAATTTCAAGTTTTCTAGAAACCATATTAAGAAAGTAAGAAGAGGTGAAATCTATTTTAATGGCATGTTATTTGACCTAATACAAAATATTATTTCAACATGTAGTCAACATTACAAAAGTTATTAATGACTTATCTTATACTGTTTTTTTGGAGGAGTAAGTCTTTGAAACCTGGTATGTATTTTATACTCATGGCACCTCTCAGTTGGGACTAGCTAAATTTCAAGTGCTGTATAGCCTCACGCGTCCAGTAGCCACTGTGTTGAGCAGTACAGCTCTGGAGTATCATAGAATCTAATATATCTTAACCATTCTTCTTCCCCAACATACCTGGGGGATAGGGTATATTTCCAACCATAACAGTGACTCATTAAGACTACATTTTCTAGAAAATGTATAGGCAGTCCAGCCCCTCGTTTACTTGTGTTAGGGGCTAACAAAGCCCATGTGTGAAGACGGCAGGTATGACATACTTGACTCAGTAAGAATGCTGCATTTTGGGCAGGAGGGTCAATTCCAAGAACAGCACAATGCTCTGTCCACATTTACCTAACATTGGAATCCTGTGGCTCCATAGGAGATGGGACTTGGGGGAATAAGCAGAAAGAACTGTTTCACAGTATCTCAAAGACCATGAGAGCATCAACAACGTTCTTTTGAGACCTCTCTGATAGAGTGGACTCTGACTCCTCAGTAAGGAGGAGTTGCAGGTTAATTCTGCAGCTTACTACAAAACACTGTAAACCTTGATGTGGTAGGGGCTCCAGTACCCTAACTGTGGTGTCAGGAGCAGTGGTGCCCAGCACATGCTTGGGGGAAGATGGCAGAGCAATGGCAAGACCTGAAAGAAGTGTCCTTGTTCAGGGAGTACATGTGAGGAACCCTGGGAATGTCAAGAGACACTCGTACAATGGCACTTAGACAGGGGCTGAAGGCCATATTGATGTGTGGGACAGAGACAGCAGCACCTGGTTGACTGTTGTTAGAGTGACCTCATTATGGGATAAATTCTGTAGGGGTTCAGAAGAAGGATTAGGTAGCAGTATCAGGAAAGTGTGCATGCAACAGGCCAAGACTGAGCTAGCCCTGGTGGTTTTAGATGTGCAAAGATGGAGGAATTGGGGTGAGGGAACTTTAGGCAGAGGAAACAGCTGTAGAAAAGACCCAGGTGGGTGAGAGGCATTTTGACAAGAACAGTGCATGTCTGGAGAAAACCAGAGGGTGGCAGGGCTGCAAAAGATGAGCAGAACCGTACTGTCTTGGACCTGGAATATCAGACTTAGGACTTTGGTTTTTACTCCATAGGAAATGTAAACCCTTAAAGGTTTTTGAGCAGGGCTGTGTTATGAGTAGATTGCTGTTGTAGGGGAAATAACTTGGCAGCTGCATGTAAGATAAAATATTTTGACAAGAGATTACAGCCAAGAAGCAGCCTTGTCCAGACGAGGGGTAAGGAGCTACCTGGACCTGAAACTAGGGTTGAGGGCAGAGGTACAGGGAGGAATGGAGTAGAACTGATAGCACTTTACACAGGATGGTGGCGGGGATAGGAATAAAGAAGGGAAAGGGAAAGGTCAAAAGGCAGATGTTGAAAAGGTAGTGGTCAGGGAAGCAAGGAAGGAACGGAGTTAGAAATAGGAGAGAAAGAAGAGAGAAGCATGAATGAGAGACAAAGAGAAGAGAGGGAAGGAAGACATGATACCAAGGATTTGAAGCCAGTGGAACTGTCACCTCTTCAGGACCATGCATTGGTACTGAAGGTGACTGGCTAAATTCATTCTGACTGTGACCCTTTCCTGGTAGTTACTGGGAGAAGTGTGGGCAGCAGAATGAGTGTCCCTTATAACATGGCTCCCCAGCCCCCAGGCTACGGACTGGTACTCCTACACAGTACAGGTCTGTGGCCTGTTAGGAACTGGGCCGCACAGCAGAAGGTGAGTGGTGGGCGAGTTAAGTGAAGCTTCATCTATATTTACAGCCACTCCCCATTGCTCACATTACTGCCTGAGCTTCACCTCCACCTCCTGTCAGATCAGCAGCAGCATAAGATTCTCGAAAGGGCGTGAACCCTACTGTAAACTGCATATTTGAGGGATCTCGGCTGTGTACTTCTTATGAGAATCTAATGTCTGATGATCTGTCACTGTCGCCTGTCACCCCCAGATAGGACCGTCTAGTTGCAGGAAAACAAGCTCAGGGCTTCCGCTGATTCTACATTATGGTGAGTTGTATAATTATTTCATTATATGTTACGGCATAATAATAATAGAAATAAAGTACACAATAAATGTAATGCACATGAATCATCCCGAAACCATCCCCCCGCTTCCCTGTCTGTGGAAAAGTCATCTTCTGTGAAACCTGTCTCTGATGCCAAAAGGTTGGAGACTGCTGCTTTATAAAACAGTCCTACCATAAGATAGTAACACATCCCTGTTGCTAGGAGACACATTCCACAGTCTTCGGGAGAAGGGGAGAGACGATTAATTCCTAATCAGGTCAGCTAATATTCAGAAAAGATTTTAAATTTGATCCAAGACAGATTTTGCTGAAATTTGAGATTAAGGCAGTAGTTTTTAACTCCCTTCCCAGTCCCCCAGGACAGTGACATCCACCTTTTCTTGCTGACACCTGTCCCAAGGGGGTCTCTGCAGTGTTGCTCAGGCACCACTGGAACGTATCAAGGATGCAGCTGTGGCAGCAGCCGGGCTGTTTGATGCTCCCAGCCTCACATAACACCACCATGAGACAGGCAACTGTATCACTCGCAAGTGGCAGATTGGAAGCCCAGGCTTAGAGAAATGGCTAGAAATGATAGCAAAAATCATCTGCAGGGCAAAATCTAAGCCCTTATTTTACACTGTTGAACCAAGAAAGAGGAGAAAATGTACCCTATAGTAAAATTTAGGGGGGAAAACCATTTGTGCTTCATTTTGTCTATAGATCACATTTTGACTATATTATAGTGTGGTTTTTTTGTTTTTCTTTTTTTGGTATGCATTGTGGTAGGGAGACATTAAGGAGGTTGAAAAACTTATTTTAAACCCTTTTGTTTGTTTGTAAGAAATTTACCCTTTTATTTCCCCTGGAAGAAATCTAACAACTCTGGACTGTTGACAGACATTCCCTTTTGGTGTCCCAACTCTTCCTGAAGCGAAAATGAGGTAATAAAATTTCTAAGCAAATATGTAATCACTGTAATTTGCATATTATTTTCATAACCAGAGATGCAGGGATTTTCTCCTCCTTCTGTGGGAGAAACCTAATCACAGAACTTTCTTAAATTTCATCTTGTATCAAATTTCCTGCCTTAGACATATGAACATATTATAATCTGACCCATCCTCCCTCCCCATCTTGCAGCCTTTTTTAAATAACTAAATTACTGTACTCAAATCCTCATCTTGCACAACAGCAGGAAATCCATTCTATTCCAGACTCTTCCAGAGGACTCTAGAGAGAGTGATTTCTTACTACCTATAACAGCTCCTGAAGGCTTCTGCCTCTCTCCAAGCTATGCTCCAAGAATAAATATAGTTCCCCCTTCATTCACTAAGGCATTGCTAATACAACCTAAATTATAGTAATCAGTTTCCTAAAAGATGAGCATGGCAAAGAGAAATGACAAAGTACAAAGTAAAGCCCTCAGATATCAAGATCCTCTTCAGCAATTCCATTTCAGTGAGACCTTCTTTTCTCCTCATGTTCTGGCTGGCGGCTGGGACCCCATGCCTCACTCAATCCCAGGCCTTCTTTGCTTTTCTCCCAAACTCTCAGGTCCCAAACTCTGCAGAGAAAAATGAAAATATATCAATTGAAACAAACTAACAAAAACTTCTCTTCCTCAGAAACCCAATCCACAACTCTCTGCTTAAGGAAGACCCACCTTTACTTTATTAAAATGACATTTACCTCCTTTTGTAACAACTTTCCCCATTTCAATTTAGCCTAGGCCTTATCTCAGACAGTCAAAAAGGCTTTTAAAGCCTTTCTAACAAAAGAGGTATTTTCCTCTAAAGATTGATCCACTACCCAGCTAGCAACAGCCCCAACCTGTAAGCAGATTTTTGTTCCCACAACAATATCATCCTGAAATATTTACTTTTCTGCTGCTTTGTCCTTATTTATATCCAATGGTGCGGTTAAACATTTAAAAAGGCTGTTTCTGGGATTAAAGAATATGTGAAGAAGACCAAAGTCAACAAGGAAATTCTTTATACATATTTAGTAAGCATGAAGATATTCAAACTCTTTTGTAAGGGTAGCTGAGAGAAAGGAGAATAAACCCAAAGTCAGGCAAGCAAGTTTTATTAACCTGCCAGGCTACTAGGTAACAATCAGAGGAGGCAGCCCCAGCTGACAAGACATGGGTTTATATGGGGTGAGAGGAGGCATAAGGGAGTTTTAGGTAACAGGCACAGAGATAGTTTGTTAACTTGTAACAGACCTACAATACATCATCCTGTGACTTTTGTGGTAGCAGTCTTTAAAAAAAAAAAGACAGAAATCGGAATTTTTTATAGACATGTGTCAAACAGGAATTCACAAGTATGGATAACCAACATATGTTTTCCCTGGCTTCGCTAGAGCTGCCCGTGCTGCCCCGAAAGCTATAATCAGGCGTTGCTTAATTGTTGCAAGTCTGGCAGCCTTGATGTGGCTCCTAGGTAGGGTTCAGGAATGCAGCTGCAGAGCAATCAGAGGGGGGTGGGTCAGCCTACGAGGAGGGGATTTTCTGAGGCAGCACAGCTCCGACCCTAACACCTTTAAAACCATGTGAAGAAAGATGATGTCAGAGAAAATCCTCATTTGGGGTTCAGGAAGATGACAGACCTGCATTCAAATCCAAGTCCATCTAACCATTTTATTTTTTGTTATTGGACAAGTCACTAATTTCTGTAAAGCAGGAATAAACATACCTATAGCATAGATTGTTATAAAAAATGAGCAAACTTATATAAAGCCCTTGGTATCTAGCAGGTGGCTCAATAAATATTCCTTCTCTTCCCACTCCTCAGGCTAGTGAACTGCTATTGTTAACCCATATAAGCTATGGGTTAATACTTTAGGGTAACCAAAGGAATAAGAAGGGTAACCAAAGGGGGGTTACAAGCCACACCCATTGAATCACCTTTTCTTTTGTGTTCTTGTTGCCATTAGTATCTCCTCACCCTGCCTCTGTCTTTACTTCCCACTCCCTCTCTCCTCAGGGTCATTTATTCCTTGCTATAAAATGGGAAACTGGCCATTGGATGGAGCCAAAACGTAACTAGTGCTTGTTCTAATTAATGAGTAATATTTTATGTTTCTTTTTTTTTCTTCATCCAAATAATAATTTAAAAGTTGACTTTCTACAAAACAAAGAAAATGAATATAAACAGGCTTTAAGTATATATTGATCTCAGTTGATTTGGGGAGGCAGGGTTGGAGGTCTGCTGGTTCTTGATAAGAAAGAGATTCCTTAGTTTGCTTTAAATCACTTTATGTCTTCTTTTGATTTTATTATTATTCACATCTTCAGACTGTAGAATGAACAAACCACACACACTCTGCAGTTATCACCCCAGGTGTCTGAAACCTAGGAATCATCCTTGAAGCCTCTTCTTTCTTCCTATCCCACAGCAATCTGTCAGCAAATACTTTTGGGGCTCCCTCCAAAATATATTTTGCATCCCCCACTTTCCAAATCTGCACAATAAACAGAATAGTGTTGCTAGACTTAGCAAATAAAAATACACGACACCACAGTTAATACTGAATTTTGGATAAACAACAGGTAATGTTTTATATGTAAAATATTATTAAAATATTTTTTATTCACCTTAAATTATTCATTGTTTATCTGACAAATTTAACTGGACATCTGTATTTTATCTGGCAAGTCTAAACTGGAATAATCTCTTTAAAAATGTAGATCAAGGCTGAGGTGGGAGGATCACGTGAGCCCAGAAGTCGAGGCTGCAGTGAGCCATGATTGCTGCATTGCACTCTAGCCTGGGCAACAGAGCCAGACCCTGTCTCAAAAAAATGTATCAGGTGTCATCAATACACCAATGACTTCCAATTGCCTTCTAAATAAAAGCCAAACTCCCTGCTCTGGTCTTCAAGGCTACCATGGACTGACCCTCATCTTCCTGTCTGGCCTGAGCCATACCACTTTCTTTTTCCATGCCTCCCTCTTTGTATTAGCCATATTCCTGTTTGCAGGCCCAGTCAAGTCTGTTGGATGTGCGTTTCTTCAGGCTGCAGTTGTCTTCCCCGCACCTTTACCTGGTTGGCTGTGTAACCAAACTCAGGTCGGGGCTGCTCCTTACTTGAAAGCCGAAAACTCAAGATGCTAGCTTTGATCAAAGGAAAGTAGCTTTATTTGAGAAGCCAGCAACTTGGAGGAGACGGTGAACTAGTGTTCAAAGACCACCTCACTGAGCTGCATCTCCAGATAAGGGGTTTTTAAGGGAAATTAGGGGAAATGATGATCAAAACATTCTTGTGAAATGCATGCAGTCTCAGGCAGGCCATTACTTTCCTGGTCAATGTGCTGCGTCTCCTGCAGATGCATCACCTGTTCTGATCAGGGTGGGCAGCCCGTTTTCGGAGTTGTTGGTTCCTTTTCTCTCTCTTGAAGGTCCTGTTTTCCTGAAGCTGTTTTTAGTAAATAATCTATAAATTAAAGCAAAGTAGTAATTATGTTTAAGTGAGAAAGTGTTTCTCTAGCATGGAGTCAGTGCTGTTATAGCTTCTTTCTGTCAATCTGGTCTGAGCCAGTTTGTCTCCTTCTTAGTGGGAACTTATCTGCTGACCAATCTAACACAGCTCCCTTATCCATCTTTGTTATATCACTTTGTTATTTTCTTTATAACACACATCCCAGGCTGAGATTCTCTTGTCTATTGCCTCCTTCACTGAGCTCCATAAGATCAGGAAATATATGGGACCTTTATCTTGTTACAGCCCTAGTATTTAGAATAGAGTCTAGCATACAGTAGGTCCTCAGTAAGTGCTTTTAAATGAAGACTCTGTCTAGTCCAGCAAAGAGATAGCTTTTAACACTGCTTTGTGACAGACACATCAGCCCAGAGGGAATGACAGAAACTGCATTATTGCTTGTTGAATTGTATTTCGTACTTTTCTGACTCAAATTTTTGTACTGACAGGCTAAGAATAAAATTTACATTATCCACTACTATGTGAGAAACAATTACAAAATGGAATACATCATATGACCCTTATAATACTTATAACACAATAAATATTTGTTGAATGAATCATGTTTTTCTAAAAATGTCTATATAGAAATGTCTGGAAAATGGCCTGGAAAATAAACACACAAATGCAAAAAAGTAGATATTTCTGGGAATGAGATTATAAATAATACTTCAATATTTTTTTCATTTAATTATTTTTAGTACAAGCATATAATCGTAATCACTTTTAGAATCAGAAAAATACAACAAAGTTACTTCAATTTTTTAAAGAAAAAGATTTACCCATAAAAACTTGATATTTCAAGTGAATTGTATCAAAGTATATAAACTGATGGTTTGCAGAGAACTATAAATAACTTTTAAAGATATGAAGATAAGCTCAATGTCAGAGAAATACAGATTAAAACTACTCTGAAATACTGTTTTCACCCATTAAACAAAAATCCAAAAGCTCAATAATACACTTTATTGGCAAGGCTTAGAGGAAAATAGCAACTTATATATTGCTGTTGGAATTATGAAGTCATACAACCTATATAAAGGTCAATTTGGTAACACTTATCAAAATTTCTTTCTTTTTTATTTTTTTTGAGATGGAGTATCACTCTGTCGCCAGGCTGGAGTGCAGTGGCTCGATCTCGGCTCACTGCAACCTCTGCCTCCTGGGTTCAAGCAATTCTTCTGCCTCAGCCTCCTGAGTAGCCGGGACCACAGGTGTGCTCTACCACGCCCAGCTAATTTTTTTTATACTTTTAGTAAAGACCATGTTTCACCATATTGGCTAGGATGGTCTCAATCTCCTGACCTCATAATCTGCCTGCCTCCACCACCCAAAGTGCTGGGATTACAGGCATAAGCAACCATGCCCAGCCCATACTTATCAAAATTTCTATTGCATAAACCAGAGGTTGGCAAACTATAGCTTGTGGGCTGCTGTCTTTGTATAGCCCACAAGGTAAGAATGGCTTGTGCATTTTTAAATTGTTGCAGCAAAAATCAAGAGAAGAATACTATTTCATAGCACATGAAAATGATATGAAATTCAAATTTTAGTCTCCATAAATAAAGTTTTATTGGAACACAGCCATGCTCATTCATTTACATGTTGTCTATGGCTGCTTTTGCACTACTGTGGCAGAGTCGAGAGTTGAGACAGGGACCGTATGGCCTGAAAAACTAAAATATTTACTATCTGGACCTTTACAGAAAACATTTGCCAATCTACTTTTGGCAGAAATCATTTGACCAATAACTACACTTTAGGCAATTTGTTTTATGTAGTTGCACAGGTACAAAATGAAATACTCAGCATTATTTATAAATCATGTAATTAATTATAATAAACAAAATATCTGTTGTAGGTAAATTTAATAAATTATGGTATATCCATACTATGGCATAGTAGTGGCTGTAAAAAAAGGATAAATGTGTTTTAGGTACTGATATAGAAGATACGCAAGCCTTATTGTTATGTGAAAAAACTGCACATATTGTCAAATTCTTCCATGTTGAACAACTTTCAGGTCACCATTTCCATTGTGCTCTATGCATATGGCACCCCTGGAGTTGTGCAACAGCAACTGCCCTCATAATATGCCATTGCTGTGTAAATTGGAGGGGGAGCAGGTATTCACATATGCTGACATGTGTATACACATCCTTTCCTGTGTGAATGTGACATGAGATGCTTCTAATAAAGCTTGCCTTTTGGAAATGTGGAAGCTGGACTAAGCAGACACAGAAATAGAAGGGAGGCTTTTGACTGTATCTCCTTTTGGTGGCCTTTTGATATTTCAACCATGGAATGACTAGATGTCCTATTCAAAAATTAAATACTTTTTTTTTTTTTTCTGAGACAGAGTCTCACTCTGTGGCCCAGGCTGGAGGATGATGGCACATTCTTGGCTCATTGCAACCTCAGTCTCCCAGGTTCAAGCAATTCTCCTGCCTCCGCCTCCCGAGTAGCTGGGACTACAGGCTCCTGCCACCATGCTTGGCTAATTTTTATATTTTTAGTAGAGATGGGATTTCACCATGTTGCCCAGGGTGGTCTTGAGCTTCTGAGCTCAGACAATCTGCCCACCTCAGCCTCCCAAAGTGCTAGGATTACAGGCGTGAGCCACTGTGCCTGGCTAAAAATTAAATACTCTTTTAAGGAATGAAAAATAATATCTAATTCTTAGGAGAGTCTGGTCTGTTTATCTTTTTCAGCAAAGGCAGTTGTCAGCCCACCAGTGCTGTCTTGCCAGCTACTCCTTCCTCTTTGCAATCTGCATTCTGAT